GCAAAAGGGCCAAGCTTACCTGGATTTTGACCGAGAGCGTGATCTGGACTCGGAGTGTTTGGAGACCCGGGATGGGCTCGGAGAGCGAGACCTGCTCTCCGACTTGACCCGAGCTGGACTCCCACGATCCGATTTAGATGGGGAGCGTGACCCCTATTGCCATAGCAGTATGTTAACAACCTTTACTCATTCAAAATTTATTTATTTATACAAATCACAATAAGCAGTCAAATAAAATGGAAGTATCACACAGAGTACACTTATCTAAAATGTACAGCCTATATACTGCGGGAAAAAGGGTTAGTAATCATGTAATTTCAATAAATGAACCTCTGTGTGGCATATTATTAAAATATATATATTTTAAAAAATGTACATGTTCACCTGGACTATTAAAACGGGAAAAAAACATGCATTTTCTTATGTTACAGAAACGGAGCATGATAAAGAAAAGACATTTTGACACAAACAATATATTTACTTAACCTAGGGACACATTCATTCTTCCAGATTCTTTACACGCTACTCCCTTCTCTGAGGATTTCTATCCTTCTTCATTCTTCTTTTTTCAGTTTTCTCATTTTCTGATTCCAGGTCTGTTTCATTTTAGCCATTACACTGCAAGCGCGTCTATCTGACACCATTCTTCCGGTACACTTCCTCCCTTTCCAGCTCTATGTTCTGTTCTGTATATGTTTTCATTAGCCTTCTTTTATCTTGAAAATTTTCTTCATCATTCTTGGATAAAACTCTTCAAATCCTTCAGGTTCAATAACCTTAATGAAAAAAGAACATTCAATGAAATTAAGATCAGAGTGTTTTAGCAAAGGAGAATATCGTGAATGAAATGAAAAGGAAAACTGAATGCATCATTACATTTACAGTGCTGCTTCGTTAGGTTTGAATAACCCAGAAATTATGCAAATAAGCAGAACAATGTAACATATGTGGGAATAAAAAGAGCTTAAATGAATTTTCTAGCAATGTTTCAACCTGATAAACCAGAGAATGAACGCTGAGAACGAAGAGTGGCTTAGGACTAACCCTCATACACTGACACAAAGCAGTACTACACACAAAAAAAAAAACCGTAAGTGTGCAGAGCTATCCGCACAAAAGGACGTTGGCATAACGTAGGAGATAACTTGTGATTCCTTTCATTAACGAATGAGTCAGTTGCACTCAATTAAACTCACACTGCATGAAGCCAATTTGCACACACCAGTGTTTTAACACTGGTTATTATTTTAAGCCAACTAGCTTGCTAGCTAGCGCCTGTTAGAAGCAGCCTTGCTAGCAGAGCATTAACCTTTCACATTAAAACAGGTATTAGCATAGTTTGCTTCCGTTAACTTGAGGCATTTCTCTGCCTCTGTCTGAAAACTGTAACGCAAGCCGATAAAGCGTTGCAGGTTATTTAGAGTTAGCACACATTACCATTGGCTAGTAGTTAGTGTATCCTAACAATGTTCTTTACTGAAAGCCACACGGAAGAGAAAGGGAAGAAAGGAAGGTGTCACCGATATCATTCGACGGGAACTACTTACCCGCCCTTCATAGTTTCCTTCCTCAAGGTCACTCATTGCTCGGTATAGCTAATAAAAGCGGTAATTTGGACAAAAAAATAAGCAAGTGGGTTTATATGCTACGTATATGTTCTGGTCAGTAGCTAGAAGATGGCGCGTAACGTAGGTTGCTGATATGTTTATGAGCCGCAGGATCTGACGTCATCTCCCACGCCCCCCTTCGACATTAAAAAAAAAAACATGGCGAACACACGGAGAAGTTGTAATGTTCTTTCACGGACCATTAGTGTCGCGGAGAAACATTGAGATATTTTAGTACAAAGCAACGCTGCCACACAGGATAAAGTAATTTATTGTCAAGGAGAGCAAGATTTCTCATTGTACAGAGTGAGAGTTAAGATCGTTGGAGGCAGAGTAGAGGCTACAGTCACGTGAAGAAACATGATTTTAAAAAAAAACATTTAAATGTTCAAGAAGGATCTCCTTTGTATTTCAGTGCTGTTCTTCTCTTTATGTCAGAGGACAGGACACAAACTTACTGGTGATCTTTTTTGACTTGAATGGCGTCAAAGGTTGCGGTGTAGGGATTAGGAGTTCCCGGTTGCAAAGTCAGTTATGCCAGAGTCTAAATCACACTTTACAACCCCATTTCCAAAAAAAGAAAAAAAAGCTCCACCAAATACAAGTTACAAAAAAGACAAACGTCCAGCTGCAGTTAAATATTAAGCAACTTTATTCCTGCAGTGTGACACTTTAGCTTGAGGTCATAAAATAAAGTCCACGGGTTAGCAACAAAGTTGTTTTCTACATTATGCTCCTGGAGTTGTCTTCTTGCCTTCTTCATACACATTGGAAGATGGTGAAGTTTTTATTCTACTTCTCAATAAAAACATAAACAAATAGTAGTGCTCTTTTTGTTGTATTTAAATAAAGATTCCCAGACATGCATTATACCTAGTACTGGACTAAACTGCATTTTTCTTTTAGTGTTGGACTAGGCTTTCTGGGAAGCATGCTGCTACTGCTTAGATTTTTTAAATGGTTTTTTTTTTTTTTTTTAAAATAGGGTTGTATGAGTAAAGCCATCTCCCATCAGGTCACCACCTTATCATTTTTACTTCATTGCATCATGTAGCAAATTAAGGTCGCGCCACTACTCGATTATTTAGTCCTGTGATCGCCACATACTGTTAAGCTGAAACAAAGCTGCTTTAACTGCCTTATTTTTCCTCACTTTTATTCTGCCACTCATGCTGTGTTTTGTATAATCCCCCTCCCGCCAAAAAAAGGAAGAAATGTTGATAAAAATGTTGCAAATCCAGTATAACGACCAACAAGTTAAAAGTTTTTCTTTCTTGGTGGACAAACCAGTGTTAACTATGCTAAGAGCACAGGTCCAATGCAGATGATTTAATTTTAAAAGATTTCTATAATCACAGTGCACCATGAATATGTGTAAACAGTGAGTCAGTTATCCTAACGGCATTAGTGGGCTAAAAACTCACTGCATATACATTCAGTCTCTTTGAGCTACTGGATTTGAAGTGAGACAGAGCAAGCACACACACTCGCACGCATTTACAGCGGCAAATAGGCATCATCCCATGATATTCTCCATACGTCTCACAGCAACAGCACATACACATTTATATTGCCTTCACATGGAGTGCAAATAATATTCTTTGGATTTTTTGTTACAAGAAAACTACCTAGTTAATTTAGCCTTAAAACCTCATTAGCTGTAAGCTAAAGGAAGAATCTTCAAGTTCTTTAGTTCTTAGCAAACTAAAACTGTATTCTAAGCTATCATACATGTACAGCATTTTGATATGTTGAAGTAGTACTGTAACTTGTTGGCAATGGGAGCAGTTTAAGCTGGTTTTATGATTAAGCATTTAGAATTCAGGAACAGTTTCAAGCATCTGCTTTTGGCATATACTTAAACAGTCACTTTACATTTGAAAAAATAGGCATAATAGTTTCAGCAATGGAAATACAAAACAAGAAAAAGATGTACTGGAAGTATTGGTACAAAAAAATGAAATAAATATCAGCATTGAGAGACTAAAGAGGTCCTCTTTCTTCTGAGTTGGATGAATATTTCTGAGACACATCCCATAACTTAAGCTTCTGGGCATCCATAAGAATCCCTGCAGCTCTTTATTTATCTGATGTTGCTTCATTAGCAATAAAAGATGTAAAACTTGGTGTGCTTATTTAACAAAAAAAAAAAAGATATAATATTTGGCCTTCTTAATGTGGTCGGGCCCTATTAGGTATGTGTGGATGAAGGCGAGATGTCCCTGGGTGACTTCCAGGTTTCTCCTGCTGCTTCACAGGTTTCTGCAGGGCTACAGGAGCAGATGCAAGCAGGCCCCCTGCTGTGTGGGAGCTGTTTGTAGAGGAGGAATTGACCACCAGTTCAATTTTCCCCTCCAGTTTTACAAGCCGTGTCAGAATGTCATCCAGTAACACAGCTATAGTCCTCTTCAGGTCAGCTGTTTGAGTACAGAACAGAGAAAAAGACAGAAGGGGAAAAAAAATCAGTCCTTGAGGCTTCTTGCAACTATGAGACACAATTGTCATGTAGGTGTTAGTAAAATATGGTGCAATATCGCCATACTTTCCATTTAAAAAGCATGGTAATATTGCACCACTTCTGAATTTTTCTAAAATTCTTACCATATCCTGCCATGGAGGTTCCTTGTGGCCCACCTGGTGCATTCTGGTTCTCTTCTGTCAGCACTTTGACATATCGCCGGCTTAGCTCCAGTATCTTCTCACGTAACTCTGCACTGCTCTGATGGCGAGGCTGCTGCACAGTGTACCTCAGCAGCATAAGTCCCCATGCCAGGCCGAATGCCAAGAGTAGCATACTAAGCTTCTGAGACATGTTCCTACGCAGTAGTGCAGCCAGCATGGTACTGTGGTGAAGGGGAAAGGTGGCTATGAATGCCCGGTCTGAGGCTGAAGGCCTTGAGTTCTTTGAATTTTTAAACAATCAGCTTGACAACGTAGCAGTTCCTGCAGGAAACAAATCCTGCTGTCCTTATTCACACAGAGGTCAAAGCTGTCAAAGTCTGCTGCACATCCTGCTCATCGTGAGGGGATATAAAGAAGTCTGGAGTAACAGCAGAAGCCAAGAAGTGTAGCCACAGACATCGGCACTCAGGGGTGTTTGGAAAGGTGCTTGGGTTGCAAGATGTGTGAGACCAAATCACCAATGCAGACTGGGTTTTTAGGCAGGGGATCAGCAGACATGGCTGAAAATGCTTTAAAAAAACAAACAAACAAAAAAGAACAAGAAAAAGAAGGCAACAGACAGAAATAATAACATTAACATAGAGGGAAAAACATGCTTACATTAGGGATGCAATGTAAAATCTGACAAAACAATTACTTTAAACACTGCAGCAAAACTCCCTCCCACAATCCAAAGACATGCAGTTAGTGAGATAAGGTTAACTCGTGATTCTAAATTATACATAGGTGTTAATGTGAGTGTGACTGATTCTCTCTCTCTCTCTCTCTCTCTCTCTGTGTTAGCCTTGCTTCAGACTGGCGACCTCCCCAGGGTGTACACCATCTCATGCCCTATGGTAGCTGGAATAGCCTCCAGCTGCCCACGACCCTAATAAGGATGAGCAGAAGAAAATGGATGAGATGGATTTTTTTTTTTGCAGTGCTGCAATGTTATGACTAAAAGAAAAAAAAAAACTTAAACCCATTGCAGTCTCATTTTTGTTCATCCTCTAAACTAATTTGTAAGGGCTCACAATGTTTTTAAACGCAGAATGAGTATTTCTGGATGAGTTAATGAAAGCACAACCTCATGTGAATTATCACATCTATCTTATCATTAATAGCAAGGCTTCCTGAAATACTTGGTTGTTACTAGTGACATTTTCCCCCTTTTACTGCTTTTGGTTACAAACACTAAGCTACAAATCTCTTTCAGCCCTCTTAGCCCAGAAACCTGATTACTAGTTTAGATTTCACGGTACCTACTTTGCAGCTCCAAATAGGGGAGAGAGAAACAGACAGAGGGCATTCATACCCCAATCCCACGATGGGCACAATAGTGACAAATAATCTGCAAGCGCACTGTGCACAGTCAAAGCACATTAAACAAGAATTTCTCAGCTTTCACAACTTTGTCACCAGGTTCATTTTCTGAAAACTCTCTTGAGTGAGGGAGTGTCACTTCTTTTTGAGGCTGGAGAGGAGATGGTAATTGAGCAGATAAATTATGAAAAGATGGGTAACACAATCTGTTAAGTGACGCTTCTCATACACGCAAACATGTCCTTTCTGTGACCTGGGCAAAACCAGTCATCAGCAAATACAAACTCAACTAGGAAGAAATTCTTAAAGTAACGGTATAAGTAAGTCAGGAAGTGAGACTCTTGTCATGACCTGACCATAATTTCATGGAAACACAAACGTTTCAGACAAATAATCTTCCACCTGGTTAGAGGACTGTTTAACACAGGGTGCCTAATCGGGCGCATGGCTTATCGGACTCCTTACCAGCCATTCACATCTATCCCAGAAGTTAAATATTGACCACAACAGCTGTCACATGTCATCTGCACAGGCAAACAACTGGCAGGGTCAGCGAATGGTTCAATTAGGCGACAGGTGCGCAATACCAAACTGTCAACAGTGCTTGGGCTTTACAAAAAAACAAAATACAGAACTTACTGAAACTGTTTATCACCTAGCAGAAGATAAAATAAACATGTTTAAAGTAGATTATCCAACCCAGCACTGAAAACGAATCCAAACCACACGTGTACTTCGTTTCTGATAGGCATTTCGGGACATTTGTTTTTAACTACTTAACAGTCACTGAAGCGGTTTCCAACTCTATCGATATTTCACGTTAGCTCGACATTTCTGCTCGCCAGCACTGAAACCATACAGTCAACAGCGAAAAGGGAAGGTAAACCTTTTTCGTGTCCCAAAACCTTTCAAAAAACACATATTTCAACCCACCGTGTTATCTGGGGAACTAACTTGAACTGAAGCGGAAATTTGCAGGCTGCAGATAGGCAGTGACGAGGCGACTGTGAGCTCCAGCGGCTACCGGTGGCTGACACTGAATGATGCTTGTTGTTTGGCAACCCAGGGCTGTTGTTGCTGTGTTGTGAACGGCACCCTCCCTTTGTTTCCGTTAACGAAAAGTTAGCTACCGAACTTCGAGTGAAGATGTCTTTTCCGGCTCAAAGTCATTCCGCCGCCTTCCGACACAGCCTCGAAAAACCGACGAGGTCTCTGTATGCAAAAGTCGGCAGCTAAATTCCAAGCATGCAACTGCGCTGAATGTCATGGTTCCACTGGACGTCTCGTGCATGCGTCAGTGCTATTGAATTATGGGAAATGTATTCATACCCTACTTATCGCGGTGTATCGCCTCTAACCAAATACTTTTATTTATTTATTTTCGTTTATCTACGAGTATTATTTAAGGGGAAACCTTTAAGTAACAATACGTTTATTCCGTAAAAAAAAAAATCATACGGCATATTGTAACGTTCACGACGATAGCAAGCCACAAATCCGTCATTGCTTTGTGTACGCGTGTGTGTAGTTCACCCTGCGCCCGTTAGAGGGAAGTCTAAAACCATCTCCATGGCAATTTTAAAACTGGTTGTAAACACAAAGAGTAGCTACTGTGCAAGGAGCGAGCTACAGCTACAAGTTAAACCCTCTAACAACATGGAGAAAATAGATCTCGATCAATCCGCTTTAAAAGCAGTTGATGACTACTGGGAATACAGAAGGTTTGTTTGGCGAGTGTCTTTTGACTAATTGTTTTGGTTTTTCCAGTCACCGTCACGTGACAGCTTTTGCCAAAGTTAACATAGCGACCATGTTATTACAATTAGATAAGCTCGTATTATAGGAAAACAAGGAATATAAATAGATTTAACTGTATGCAATATTATTCCTATTGGTGGTTCGTCTTCTGAAGGATTGTGGGTGATGATGATGGAGAAAAGCTCTTCACTCCAGAGCAATATGAGGAATACAGGAAGAAGATGTTTTCTCAGCGACTTAAAAACCGGTTATATGTGAGCTATGGAGTGCCTGGGGGTATTGACTGTAAGCTGATTGGCCCAGAAACACAGTGCTTCTGTGCACATAGGTAACACATTCCTTTATAACTCACACACTCAGACATATTTCTGTCTTTCACATGCTCAGTAATGAAATGTAATCCAGGTACAAGCAACATAAAACAGACTGGGAAGTGGTTCCCTCTGAGCGACCCCTGGCCTTACCATGCAGAGTCAAGGGATGCTGCTGCCCTGCCTACGAGTACGTTCCTCGGCTTGGACCAAACCCCGTGCGCTGCAGGTGTAAACATTTACCTCAACATCACAGTGAAGGAGCAGGCCACTCGTGCAAGTCTTGTGAGTCTGAAATCACTACATTTTAAAACTGTATTAGAGGTTTACTCCACTCAGTGTGATCTCCAGCACCTATGTGGACTCTTGTTCTGCTGACTTATTTATCAGGCAGTTCCTGTTCTGGATTCCAGAGTCCCTACACCTGTGGGTGTGGCCAGCCCAGCTCTGAACACCAGACTCTGGTAAGACAACTCAAACATCAAACATGTTTTCTTCTTGTTAAAGAAGCAGATGCTAGATCTAGATTTCTATTACTCTGCATAATTTCAAATAAAACTTTATCGTGTTTGCTCTATCTTCTTGGCAGGTTGAGACAAAACTGGAGAGGGAGGCACGGGGTCAGCCTGTGGGCAGGGATGTCCCTTATGCTGCCATGGGTGGGCTGACAGGGTTCAGCTCCTTGATTGATGGTTACCTAGCTTTGGAAATCAGTGGCTCAGGTGAGACTATAACTGCATATAACCTTTTTGTCTTTCTTCCAAGGGAAGCAAAAGTAGAGATCCGTTTTTACACATGTATGGTTTAACACCAACACCCTATAAGCACTAAGACCATTAAAGCCCCTTTTTTTTTTTTTTTAAATCTCAGGCTCTTTGAATTATAGAGTGAGGGATTTGGTGATCCAGCCTTTGCTAGGGTGTTTTTGGATGCATTCAACTGTATGTACTGTTAGTTCCATTAAAGCACATAGGAGGGCAGCAAAGTGCAGTGGAGTGTCAGTGTTGAAATGAAGAAACCTGCAGTGCTGCGATTTGTTCATGAAAAGTGAAAAGTGTAGAGCAAAGACTGTGTGTGGTTATCATCTCGATTTGGAGTACAGCTGTGTGGACACAAAAATATATGTCTTTCTTTTGATTATAGTACAGTGTGTAAAAAGATTCAAACTTTATGCAGTGGACTGATTACTCCATAATTTTGCATATATTTTGCAATGACACCTCCTTCAATACATGATTTCCATAATCTCCGCTGTATTTTTTTTTTAGACCAAGAAAGCCCTCAGCAGAGCTGCTCGGCATTAAAGACCAACCAAACATCAGCTAAAGCATCAAGGTTTGCTCTCTGTAAGAGAGGGACCAACAAACAATAAAATACAACATCGGTTTGTGTGTATCCATAGGATAATGAATATGAATATGAAAATATGAAAGCTTTAATTCAAGGGTTTAACAAAAGTCCTGCATTGACTGATTAAGAATTACAGCCGTATAACTAAATGGGGGTGTGGCGATTGTATGTGGATTGCAGGCAGCGAGTAAGCATTGTAAGAATTACAGCCATTTTTATACACTATCCCCCATTTACAGAGGCGTAATTGGATAAACCAGCATAATTTGAAATAGGTTCTTTTTAATACTTCTGTGAAAATCCTGTGCAGTCAGTGACTGCCTGAAGTCTAGAACCCATGGAGATCATCAAATGCTCTTTTTCCTGCATGAGATGCTCAGCGACCTTCTGTTGCTGCTTTCGGGTGTATGTGCTTTGAGTTTGGTCTTCAGAAATGATAAAACACACTCTGTTGGGCTCAGATTGGATGACTGGCTTAGTCATTGAAGAATATCCCATTTCTGTGCATTGTGAAACTCTTCGGTTGCTCTTGCAGTATTCTTTGGGTCATTATCCATTTGCACTTTGACATGGTGTTCAAGTTTTGCAGTATTTGGCTGCATCTGTGCACACAGTATAGTCCTGTAGAAAGCTACTTTAAGCTGCAGTCTTATTCACAAGAGGTCGCCACAGGGGTAGCTCGCATGTTTGATTTGGCAGATTTTTTACCGTAGGTTGGCCTTCCTGATGTAACCCCAAAGGGATTTGTGTCTCCCCTTGGGATCGAACCAGAGATTTCCCGCTTATTAGGTGAATGTGTAAACCGCTTACTGCTATATTTAGATTAATGAATCCACAGGCTATGTTTGCAGCCTGCACTCTGCATACAGTCACACCCCCATTTCTCTGCATATACTATGGCTGTAATTCACAATCAGTTGATGCGCTACTTTTGTTAAACCCCCTGAATTAAAAATCGGAAACTTCGAAAATCTGCACTTCAATCACATGTTGATTGTTTGATTTAAAATCTACCATGTGTGCAGAAGCAAGACTAAGGTTAAAAAAAAATGTCATTGGACTGCAACTGTACGCCTTTTTCAGAGTTGAAGAACAAGCAGCTTGGTTCAAAGTGAAATCATTTCAGCTTTCACTGAAAAGTATGTCTTTGTCAGTGTCGTGACAAAGTGATATAATCAGCTGTCAGCAAAAGCTGTGACTAAATCCCACCATGCAACTGAACAATTACTGACAATACAGTATATCGGTTCAGTCAAAGAGCTGAGTGGGGGAACCACTGGCAGCATTATTGCGATGATCCAGATTTTGACACACTGTTTTTGTGAACTTTTAAGAAGACGAAACAATGCTATCAAGTAGATGTTGTCTGTTTTATAATGCTGTTTGTGCTGCCATGATGCATAAACCAAGGTCCTCTTTATTTGGCGTCTCTGCTGAAACTCACAAGTGTTACTATGATGGTAAAAATTAAGATATAATATATAATAATGGATTGCATTTATATAGCTCTTTTCGAGACCCTCAAGGCGCTTTACAATTCCACTATTCATTCACTCACTGGTGAAGGCAAGCTACAGTTGTAGCCACAGCTGCCCTGGGGCAGACTGACAGAAGCCATCACCAGTAGACGGTAGGTGAAGTGCCTTGCCCAAGGACACAATGACGGCAACCTTCCGATTACAAGACAAACTCTTGAGCCACGATCACCCTGAATGCACTGCTCATTCAGGAAGGTTGTGACCCAGGGTTTTGTTGCATTGACAGATGTCACTAAAATGCATCATGTGCAAGTGTTCATGAAGTTACTGTCCTGAAAAAAGGAAACGTGTGTGTGTGTATCTGTGTGTAGTTCACCCTGCGCCAGTGTGCGTCTTTTTAAAACATGGCTGTGCAGAACAAGCAGATTGTGGGCTGCAAATTTTAATTTCAGTTACAGTTTAAGCTTCTTATGATTGTTAAAACAAGATAATCAAGATAAGACAATCATTGGGCCACATTCTGTCTTGCATTAATTCTCTCATGTTTCCTCTCATTTGTAGATCCCATTGCTTTTATTTTGCCACAGACTCACTCCCCACCATGATGTGGAAAAGTGTATTTGATTTCAAAATTATTTATTTAGTCATCTTCAGTTGAATTATTATTAAAGTTATTTAAACTCAAATTAATCCAAAGGTCAACCTTTTTAAAGTATATAAGACTATAATTTTCCTAAAGTCTGTGTGTAATTGTATTAAACAACTGTGATCTCAGCAGTGGCAAAATAAGTGCTATTAAGTTTTGTTTTGTTTTTTCCATAATCAAGCAGCCCTGGCAGCTTTCTCAAGAGCCACTCATCATCTACACGAGTGAGAGACTGAAGACATTTGTAACAGCAAACCAAAGATGAAAAATACAAGACTAAATTAAAACCTGCTCAGCTATCATTTTGAGTTTTACTCAATCACTATCATAACATTTTCTAAGATTTGGAACCTGTTCACCAGCTATCTTTTTTCCTAAACTTTTCCACCCATCTATCTTCTTCCAGTTATCCTTATTCAGGGTCCTGGGGGCCTAAAACCTATGCCAGCTGTCATAACAGGAAAGGAAAGATGCACCCTGGACAGGTCGCTGATCTATCACAGGGCCACAAGGTTACGACCATTCTTGCTCACATTCACATCTAGAGCCAATTTATAGTCGTGTGAAAAAGAAAGTTTTCTCATGGGTGGTTCTTCTTTGTTTGAAGAATTTAAGCTCATTGTGTCACAGTCTGGCGAGGGCAGACTGTAGGGGTTGACAAAAGGACCCAAAACGCAGACTCCAAGGAACAGGGAACAGAACTTGAAATGTTAACAAAAAGCGAGCCGTTTAATATGGCTGGTAAAAAAGGTACAAACAAAGGGCATGGCAAACTGAATCAAAATTAACACAAACCTAAACTGGGAAATCTAAACAAACAATAAGAAAAACCTAGACAAGAAACTTGGAAGCATGGCATGGCATAGGAAACATGGCGTGGACAACAGACGACCTGAAACAAAACCACAAAAAACAAAGAATCTGAAGCACTCGGTCCAAACACAAGGGCTTAAGAGTCCGAGACCCTGTTTCAGGAGGGCGACCATGATCTCGGCAGAAAAGGAGTTCATGGCGAAGTAGTTCAGGTGGCCGACCTGGAGGCCTACAGCATAGCAGTTCATAGTTCAATGGTTCAGGGGGCCGACCACGTGGAAGGTGGCAGTGGCGAAGCAGGTATGGCTGGCCACACTCGGGTGGCTTGGCTCGTAGCCGGCGGCGACGTGGACGAGACCTGTCGGGTGGCTTGGCAGGCGGCCGGCGGCAAAGTGGACGAGACCTGTCGGGCGGCTTGACTGGCGGCCGGAGACG